AGGAAATTAAAAGATTGACGTAGAGACAGACAGAAAAAAACAGAAAGGGGGATTTAAAGATATGTATTGGTAAATATATTTCAAGAAAGAAAGGACGAGAAAGAGAGACAATGAGACAGAAAAAATAAGAATAATACATGAATAACCAAGAAGCTCACCCATCGACGCACTATTAATCAAATCTCTGTCTTTAAAATGAAACATTCACTACGATCAATACTTAAGAGAGATGTTCTGATGGTGATATGTTTGTACTTATCTGTAATTCACTTTTCACTGAAATCGTTGAAATATTCATAAATGTAGTTTTGAGGTGTGTATAGTACTTGATTTAAAAAACAGCATTTATGAGAGTTACTAGATTCAACATTAGTTCGTGTATTGCAAAATAGCTATTTGATGTGGACGAGAGATTAATTTTGTTCGCAGAAGAATGTACGTTAAAAGAAACAACATTAACAAGGAATATCATAGTGTATCGGTGCACAAAGGTCAATCAGCATATAAGGAGATGGCTATACGAAGAAAAAATGGACTGCGAAAGGATGGGTAAAAATGAAAGCAAATTAATGCACAAATTTGAACTGACGTTACCCTGGAAACGGATCGAAATTGCGTTGCAGAGTAATGTGCGCGTCAAAAGTGGCACATCTGCCTATTGCTATAGAGAACTGACCTCTGAAGACTGGAATAAGCGAGATTAAAACTTGAGTGACCTTGGATTGCACTTCGTTATAATTTTGTGAGTGGCCCAAAATAGGAATAGATACAAATTGAACACGTAGCACTAAACATTAATGACAGAGATTGATCTGGCGAATATTAAAAATGGTTATGAATGGTATGGTTCATGCTTGCTTGAAAACTGATGGATTGATATTTTCATTTGACTATGATGCGTGCGTTTGCGTGTGTGAGTGTGTGTTCATAAAGCGCCTTGTTGCGCAAACAGAGTCTCCTCTCTTCTATAAAATTATCAATCTATTTTTAAAATAACAAATACCTCCAGAATATTATATGTGAGGATTAACCGGTTTTGCTGAGAACGAAGTAAAACAACCGCAATGACTAAAGGAAACGTTTGAAATCTCCTCGGGACATGGCAGGGAAAAAAATCGATTAGTACTGAACCGCGCTCGGATTCACTTTGCTTAGTGCAATCAACAGGGATTTAACACACCTGTCCCCGAAGAATTGTAGGTTCCTTTTTACTTATTACCCTTTCCAATCAATAACCATTGCCTCCTCTAGACAGCCCAGCGAGTACGATCCAAACTATGGTTGTATTCTTCAAAATTGAAATAAAAATAGTGTCTACTATATATTATGTAGACATTAATTTTGTTTTCGTGAGCAGACTTACAGTTTTAAGTTTTGTTTCAATTCAAATCCATACAAATCAAATTTTATGAAAGTATAAAATACAGCTTACATACAATATAGAAAATAGGTCACAAACGAAATGGAAACATGTCTACAAATATACCAGAATTATACAAAGTTAATCAACAAAAATGATTTGGGGAAACTGCTGATAAAAACGCAAGGTTCTGTCGAGGCAGTCCGTGCTATTAAAAGAATAGAGAATAAAGGTGTCATCAGCAAGAAGGACAATTTTCTTTTGGTTTTTGGTTTGTTGTTGAGATGCGTGGATCGTACAAGGAAGATATTTGGCAGGTGCTGCTCTGATCAGACAATCTAAATAGAAAAATGATGTAAGTACACTCTATTACCATGACAAACGACTGAAACTCTTGTGTTTTCTATTTACCGCTCGCACACTTGGCTCCACTTCCATCGCTACGTTACATGCGCTAATTAAACAACTTTTACACCTTGCAATTCGCATTTACTGTCTGTAAAGCATCACTCTTTAAATGGCGCATCAATCAAAGGCCGCACTAGCCGTTGACGCAGTCCTACGTCAAACAGATGATGCCTCATGTGGATGAAGTATACGTTAAAGTAGAGATTAATGTGGAAGCTTTCACAGCTGTGATAAGGAAAGTCTCTTTAACGCTCAATTACAAGATAGTACCCTTTAATACTTGATCGATCCGTTGGAAATCCTTTACCGCGTAATACACTTTGCTTACTTTGTGCCAACTTGGAATTATTCCAATCTTTTTGTGCAAAATGAAATATACACAGCATCAGCTTTAATTGATTGTTCATTGCATTACTGACGGTTGATTTCAATCGCACTGATAAGCATAAAGCACAAGTTCAACATTTAATATATCTACTTGACAAGAAATGAGGGTGCCTAGACGTTCTACAGGTATATTTAATGGATCGTCTCACATTTCCAATAAATAATGTCCCGCATCCGGTATCGAACATTCCCGTGTCGCTATGTGACCTTTAATGCCACAATAATTATAAACCATCCTTTCTTTAAAAAAATAAAAAACGCGCGGCATACTTTTCCCGCCATACCCACACATTTTTTAACGACGCGATTATATAAGATGCGGTGTACCTGTTTCTTATTTTTCTGATAATCATATCAAAATATGCGCTTGACAAACCAGTTGTCTGAAGTATTCTTTGTTCACATAAAACCCTTTAATAGGTGTGTAATAGTATATGTATACCCAAGAAATACACCATCATTTTTGTTTTAAGTAAAGATACTCTAGCCAACCCGAGGTGGCGCCTTATGAATCTGTAGGCCAGAGCCATCTAAACACAGAGTTAGGCCAACTTGGTCTCACTCGGTCACAACATGGCGTATATCCTTTTGTTTTGTGCTTGCCAAACAAAGCAGTAGTCGCCATATTGTGTCCAACTCGAACCGGGCTGGCCAAACTCTCCTAATCAATGTCACTGATGTAGGCTGGAGTCCCTTTAAAGAAAAGAGGACGCTACCATATAGACGCAATATACTAGGGGTTGGGTTGGGGGGGGGGGGGGCTGTAGCCCTCTAAGAACTCTCGGTATCTTTTATACTGACCTCGTTTGAGGAGGCTTCATAAACTATTTATAATCATTAGTTCAAACAATCAATGATGTATTGGTTTTTAGGTCAATGCCGCTCAATAGATTGAAGTCAACATTAATATACATTAAATTTAGACCTTTGATGTTTACATTGACAGCAACTTTTAACGATTGCTTGCACGGTAAACTGCCGCACTATACCATCTTATCTCGAAAAATATCATTTTGAATATTCCTGCAGCCAATAGCTTTAATGACTACATTTTAGCAGGCTTCATAAACATGATAAAACTTGTTTTAAATGATTAGATCAAACAGTCACTGATTTGTTGGTGTTTTAGTCAATACCCATCATCAAAAGTCAACATTATTTTACATTAAAGTAGACCTTTAATATTTACATTTGCCAACCTTTAGCGTAGCTCGCACAGTATATTTCCGCGCTATAAAAGCCTATCTCGAATAATGTAATTTTGAATATTCTTGCAGTGATTATCATCCGCGATGTATTCAACCGATCTGTTCAAAGCTCCTTGCTAAAGCTCGCGTTGAGAATAAATGGTGATGATGTGAGCGGCGTCGCCATGGTCGCTCCTGATTTATGCATTTGTGAAGAGTCGGGTCCCTCGCGGGAAAAGTCATTTGCTATCCATGTTGTTTGTTCCTTTTTTGTGCGTGTGATTTTTGTTCTGCTCGTATGGTGGGTGACTAATGCGCTATTGAATCATTTTAGCTGAATAATTGCACATTGATGTACAACATACCATATGTGTGTTTGTGGGCAGTATGAGGAAGCAGTGTGGATAGGGAGGAATGCATACTTTGTTTCAGAAACATTTTGTGAAGCATGTAAAGGACAAGTGAATTTTCAGCCGTACATGAAGCGAATGTAATATAGGAGAAGTATATTGAATTCAATGCAAAATGGATTAGGAAAGGCATGTTGCCCTAGGGCATAACAAAATGGTAAAACTCTTTTATACATCAGCCTTATTGTTCAATAAATGTAAGATAAATGGTAACATAGACATCGATTTGTGAGAAAAGAGCAATAATGATACTATAATATAACACGCACATACATGTATTTAATTGCTATTGATTAATTCGCAACAACAATGAGTATGCAAATGATATTTTTGTAAATGGTTAGACAGATAATCTACAGGTGCTTAAACTGAAGTTTTAAATACTTTTCGCAGATGTATTATTAATTTTTCTGTGAATTATCACTGTCTCAGATAAGAAATGATATATTATGATAGTATGGAGAGAGACAGATATTTCTCATGAAGAGGTTGCAACGTTTACGGTATGAAATGAGAGCTGACATGGTTGGGAAATGTTAAATGTAGAGTGGTAGAAAGTTGGATAAAAAGGAAGATATTTATGAAGAGAAATGAGACGAGAGAAATAGAGGAAGAGAGAAAGAGAAGAGACAGAGAGAGGGGGTAGGGAGAGAGAAAGAGAGAGAGGGAGGGCGAGAGAGAGAGAGGGAGGGAGAGAGACTCTAAACTGTTAAAGAGGGTTACTCTCTACGACGTACAGTCCGCACGCTTGATCACGTAGCGTATTCTACGACGCTTTTTGCAGTGGAGCATTGCAATCGTTCACCTGCCCGCATACGACAACCGACACAAAACATTTTATTTCAGTGCTCTCACTTGCACTCGTGCAGACGTGTTGTGTACCTAGCTCCACTGCTGTGCAAACAGTGCAACAGACTGTCTCAATGGAGTCCGAGGATAGGCTTTAGTGATTTGTTAGCTTCATTTGAAGGATGTGTACACCTGTATCAGCACGGGTTTTCCTCTTTCATAAACTTCGCAATGCTTACGGAATAAATACACTCCGGTGTTATCTGCAGAGTCCTCATCATCGAAGCACACGTTTATAATGTGATGCTGCAGGGAGAGAAGGAGACGAACGGGGCACCTCTAAACGGAAACTTATACCGGGATTAATACTTGGGAGGCTACCTTCGCTATTTACATCATCTGACAGACTTTAGCAGACGACGGGAGTCGTAAGACACATCTTTAGTGGATTTCCTGTAGGTTTTGGCGCTCTTTGGCGGCTGACCACAGTCTTAGTTCATTTTCTAAAGGGAGGTTGTGCGACAATCCGTAACTTTGTCTTGGTGCGGGATATCGTGCCTGCTGACGGGGAAGATGAGGGCAGGAGATCCTCCACCGCCAGCGGCTGAGAAAGAACCTGAGAAAGGGCCTGTCCCAGAAAAAGGGCCTGCCCCAGAAAAAGCTCCTGTCCCAGAAAAAGGGCCTGTCCCAGAAAAAGCTCCCGTTCAAGATGGGACGCCCATTCCCGGTCAGGCGGAAAAACAAAAGGAATATCGACAGATTCGAAAATGCAAAAGTGCCACCTTCAACATCGATGGATACAGTTACACAATAGGTGAGTTGATACAAGCTTTTTAAGGGTTATCCTCTGACATCGCAACGGGAGGGTGGGGGTATCCCTAACTACATTTAAAACAAAATCAACCTGAATTGCGTTTTCATGGAATCCAAAATCCTTGGTTTCTCTTTTAGTGACAATCGCAGAAATACCCCGACACTTTTATGTTCTGTATTTACAATGTAGATTTTTGTAATGATGTGTTTCTATTCGTTCATTTTCGCTGTCTTTAAACAAAAGAGTTAATACCCTTTTATTTAAACTAATACATGCTATCATGCAGGCCTGCTATCATGTCAGTTACGTCAGTGCGCATACAATAGTCTATTCTTAAGAAGGGGTTGGTGAATAAATCACCCCCACTTAACATAGACACAGTTAGTGTCTACGCCACTGAACACACGTGTTGTAGTTCCAACTTCAGAATTTTAAGAATATTTCATTTTTTAAGATAGAAGAAGAGATATACAGATGATGCATATGATATTACCCGGACAACGTAATTAGTTATATAAACTGTAATTAATTGGAAATAGCCTCAGCCATCGTTGATGATTTTATTGTCAATGACAAAGGACTCCCGTTCGTTCAGCAATGATTAGAAACTGACGATGTCATAGAAACGTCAGTTTACTTTGTTTACTCAAAAAAGCTGAGAACAAAATCATGTGTATCAATTGGCAATTAACATGATTAATGGCGACCGGAAAAATTGCCATATTTCGTACCCAAGTTGGTAATATCTATGTTTGCATCTTCTTCATTGTGTCTATTTAAATAACATAAACTTTAATGACACATGTTTGTTTTGTCCCATACACAGATTTTTGTGTATAGTACATTTTATATTAAATTTTCATGTCACGTGTTGGTTTTGTGTCCCATACACACATTTCTACGTATCATAGTGCATGTCACTTTCGGCACGACTGAATCAAGTCTTTTCGTTTTGATCAGATTATATACAGCAATTATTTTGTACTACATAATCAACGTTTCGCAATCGCTTCGAGGCATGTTCTTCCCAATGCTCATAAATGACTAGAACTAGATTTTATCTTTTTCTTTATCTAGTGTGGTAAGATTTTCTCACAAAAGCCTCCAAAACTTACCATATATATGCAATTTGCATTCGAAATAATGTCATTTCAATAACGTGTAACAGGTGAATGCAACAGTTTCCTTACTAGAAAGAACGATTTATTTCACATTACACATGAAAATATAAATAGGTTCGTTAATCCGCATATACTATTATATTCATAATATATGGGGGGGGGGGGGGGGGGCTTGTCATCATGTCCGGGCTTTTAAACTAAAGCAAAGTCAAAGAAGTGTGTTTCTGTGTTTTATTTATTTTGAGAATGCATGTAAGCGTGCAGAAGAATCTTGTTAATTCCGAAATAATGCTCAGTGTACGGGGAATACTTTTGAATACAGGAACGAATATAACAGTGTAGGTTCATTACATGTTATTTTCAGAAAGACTTGTTATTATTATACTGTGACCTATTATACAGGTAGGCTTAATTGCAATTATACGCATCTAACTGCTTCTCATCCCTTGGTGTCTTTTTATGTGCATTTTTAAATAAGTAATTAATTCGTCTACCCGGGCAATTCATGCGTTACACAGTTTTACGGTTGGATTGTTTAAATGGTACTCTGTATTGATTTTCTGTGTTTTAATTAAGTTTAAATGAGCAGCGCCTCAAGCGGAGATAATGGCGTATTAAATTAGCAGACGGATCACGTGACACACTATTAAAAGCAACGTCAGCAACATCCGATGTGCGATCCTTATAAATGATATTTTTAATCTCGCTTTGTACCTTGTATTGGAGCCCATGGGCCACCCCTGCCCTCCCCCGCTGGGGCCTATGGACAACTCTTGCGCCTCCCCCGCACACACGCACCCACACGCACTCACACTCACCATCACGCACATTTACTCAACATTCCACACACTAGAGGGAATCGAAGTGCCTATGTTGGATTTTCTCGTAATTATCTCTCATATCAAATTTCCATTATGTTTACCTCTCTGAAAAGTGCATTTTCCCTTTCTCAAGTCATCAATTGAAGCCATTTTCTTTTCTTTCTTTTTCATCGAAACGTTTTATAATTGTTTTCTTCATGGAACATCACTATAGCTACTTTGACCCCAACATTCTTTTTCTCATCAAGAAAAGCTGATGATATGACAAAAAGCAGAATTTTCAAACCTGATGGAGATCCATATCATACATGTGAACCTGTAGCATTCATTGTTCGACATGGTTCATAATAAAGCCACTATTCATAACGAAAATCATTAGCTTTGCGTCAGTGATATTGATTTTATATCCATCAAAAGATCCCCAAGTCCACCCTTGAAATTAATCAATGCTGTCGTATAATGAAACATGCCATGAAGGGATTTTTAAAATGAATAATATGAATAGTATGAATTTTAATATGACTAGTATGAAAGGTTGATATGGTATTTAATGGACGTATTGTCGACATTTGATTTTCAATTGACAGTTGTCGATTGTGTCTTGAAATTAAAGATACAAACATATATCTGCACTGTACTATGAGCGTTTAGTGGGCATCTCCTTGGATAGATACACGAGACTGTTTGCGGATAATAAAATTCTTCATTCCACAAAAATGCAGCGATGCAGAATGTTCACAAAATTGGTTTGAGAAATGCTGCCTCAATTAGTTTAATTAAATCATGATCATGTTTGCGATGTTTTCATTTCATTTAATTTCATTTACTTCATTATGTGGTGTGCTCCAGCCACCATTATGGTTGAGCAATCGTAATTATACTCTTAATCACTTACGGTTGAAGAAAGACGAATAACATGTTTATATCACTTGTAAGATAAGTAAAAAGACATAATGAATTTAAACATGGTGGTAGCGAGAGCACATAATATACTGCATGGTATACTATGGTTTGCGGGCAATGCCCAGCTAGATACAGATTAATAAAGATTGAACGAATACATGGTAATGAATGGAAACATCCAACTCCGCCTCAAACGAACTTTGCAAAGCAATCATTCAATTCGATTCGAATCTGTAGATTTATATATAAACGAAGAGTGCTGTCATATACAGAATAAGAAATAGAAGCGAGAGATGCATGTCCCCTACAAATCCGAAAGGTTTGCAAAAACCCTCCATCTCCTCTCCCCGGGCACTCTACCGGTGGATGGCTTGTTAATGGCAGCTAGTATGAGGGGCTTTTAGAATGATTGCAAGCGAATTAGGTGTATTAGAGTATTGCCTTGATGAATCAGTACTGTCTCTCCGATTTCCTGGGATTTGGCCCTAAACAAGAGACAACATCACCGAAGAATATGTCCGCATAATTTGTCCATAGACCTTGTGGGAGAAAACAGCCCACATGTTTCGACAAAAGTACGGTTACTGTTGAATTTAGTTACTTGGGGCCCATTTTTACACACAAATTACATACAGTCAAACCTTTCTAGTGGCCATCCTACTATAAAGACCACCTGTCTATAGTGGTCATCTATCTTTTACTTTTTAAACTTCACGCCCACCTACGATTGAAACAGTACTTGGCAGGACATGATGTTTAAAACTATTGTAACCTTTCTTTTTGTTATTGATACCACTATACTTCGGTAAAAATTCCATTCATGATAATGTTACAGAAAATGCCATTATGAAGTCCTAATTATGAAAGCTCATCATCTACGCTCATTAGCTTAGCCTCGGTATGCGATGAAGCATTATAGGAAGCTATAATAGCAACATTAACGAAGTGGCCCTGTCCCACCTGCATGGTAGTAATAACTTAGATCCATGATTAAAGATACTATTTACCTCAAGGAATATCCATCTTGTTGATATCAAGTCATATAAATGGGCTCTTTTCAGGGCCAACCAAGCAACCCTGTCTAAAGAATACGTCTTGTATCCGCAAAACTCGCTAAAATGTATCATCACCATGGAAGCCTTCACAGATTACAATATATGTTGTGATCTAACTCGCGACACTGTGGATCTAGAGGTACGGAGTTTGAATGGCGCTAACGTCCTTTGGCAAGATATTCATCTATATTTGTCGCACTCGACCCCAGGTGTAGGAAGTGGATACCCTGTTTACCAAACGTCAGAAACCAGGGTAAAACAATACAAGCACAATTCTGATTGCAAGATTATTTCCTTTTGATGCATCTTCTATTTTCGAGTAGTTTAAATAATGTAGATGTATGCACAGTTCAATTAATTTCGGTTTCTAATGCAATTGTTAATATTTCAATAGAAGGGCCTACCTTTAATTTAAATACGCAAGTTATCATTATCGGGCTGTTGGAACCGGGGCTTATTGTAATTACTGGAAAGTACGTATGCAGGCAACATTAATGAAATCACCCAAGGCAAAAGGTAAACGCGAAAGCACTTCCTCCATTAAGAATGCATTTTGCGCTCAAAAGACAAACCATTTTATATATCATACCACTAACTTATTCCCTCAAATGACGCGAGCAGCCAGTAATTATGCTTGCCTAATTCAAGTAAGATGGTTGCTTTCATATAACGACTATCTCTTTAATCAACTTAAGTGCCTTGATGGTAAAATCTGGACAATCAAAATTGATGACAGTACCTAGGAGCAAAATAAAAGATGTGTGCTTCAATTGCATTCTTTCATTTAGAAGAATATCATCATTTATTCTTGTTACAAATATTGAAGGTATAACAACATTTGTTCGAATTAATTAATTCATTCATTCAGGCAAAGACCATACACGTGTTACGTAT